GGGGGGTTTTTTTCCTTCCCCCAAAGCAGCCCCCTTCCCTCTGCAGCTTTCCCTGCAGGAGCCACTTGTCAGCTCTGATGCTGTGAAGTCTCTCTAAAAGGCTTCAGGTGGAGCAGGGAACATCTCCAGGTGAGCAGAGCCACCAGGATCTCACCTTGCACAAAACCAGGAGCTGCCCAGTAGGGCTGCTCAGCTTCACTCTGCTCCCAGTTCCTGGTGAGAGGGAGAGAACTCCCCATATTTAGAGCCTGGACCCTGGAATGAAGTGTCCCTGGAGGTGACAGGTTGGACAACCAAGGGGCTGGTGAAAGGAGACAAGAGGGGGGGGGTCACTCATGCAGAACTTTTGTTGTCTGGGCTGCTGAGCATCTGGAAGATGCAGGGTCTGGAAGGATCATCTGGCCAGGGGGGCTGTTCCCCGGGGGCAGCAGTGCCCAGCAGGCTGGCAACCAGCAGCACAGCCCCCAGCAGCTCCATCCTGCCCTGGGGGGACACAGAGAGGGTCATTCCCACAGGCAGAACTGGGATGCAGCATCAACCAACCCCCCCCCAAAGCCCCTCTTCTCATCCCCACCTCCCCACTGGGGCTCAGAAACCACCTCCAGGCCAAACAACCCCATCATTTTTCCTTCCCCCAGTTGCTCCACACCATTCATGGAGACCACACCAGGAGGCAAACGTGGTTCCTGCTGCCAGGAAGCACCCAAGGGGGCTGCAGCAAGACCCTGAGCTCCCAGCACCCATTTCTGCCCCCCCTCCCACCCAAGGGAGCTGCTTCCCACCAGCCCTGACACCACATTCCAAGCCCAGGCAGCACCCAGAGGGGCCAGAGTTCCCATCTCCAGGTCCTGCCTCTCCCTGTGATGCCAACATGATGGAGAAGTGGGGCTTGGTCATGGGTTGACCAAGAGTGTGACCCATGGATGCAGAACCAGCCCCAAGACACTGACCAACACAGCCCTGAGCCCAAGCAGAGGGGGAGCAGAACAAAAGGGGGGGTCACCTCGAGCCCTGGAACCCCCCCCAGAAGAGCCACTTCCCACCACCAGGCCCTGGGCAGGGAGAGCATCTCCAAGGCAGAACCTTGGAAGTTTGGGGTTGCCCTGGAGATGGTTTCCCTGGAAAGAAGGGGAGAAGGAACTGGGAACAACACAAAACCCAGAGAAGGGGCAGCTCAGCCCCTAAGGGAGGGGGAAACATGAAACATGGGACCACACAACAGCTTCTCATCCCACAACCACCTCCTCCAGCAGCTCCAGCTCCCTCACCCAACCCTAATTTCACCCCCTTCTTCACCAACAACTTCTCAGCCAACTCCAAGGAGGTGACCCAACCATTTCTGGGCACTTCCCTGGCTCCTTCCATGGCTTCAGCAGCTCTGGATGAGCCATGTGCACCCAAAAAAAAAAACCCCACACCCCAACACCAAACCCAACAGTTGGGAATAATTACACCACACACACTGTCTCATTAGCTAATGAAGCTCCAGCAGGCAGGGTGAGCACGAGGAGGCACCAGCACCACTGTCATTATGGAGAGAAAGAGGCACCAGGCCTCCCTAATTAGAAACATTAATGGATTGGGAATGATCAGGAGGTTTAGGGGCTTAATGGTCCCAGTTCCCACGCTAGGAGAAGGGCAAAGCCCATCATTAGAGGCCTGATCCTGCCAACAGGATTCACGTGAGGAAGGGTTTTCCCATGGGAGTCAGAAGGGTGAGTCAGGATGCCCAGATTGAGTTACAAACCCTGTGGGGGCTCCAGGAAAGCTGGGGAGGGACTTGGGACAAGGGCAGGGAGGGATGGGATGAGGGGGATGGATGAAAAGTGGGAGAGGGAGATGGAGGTTGGAGATGAGGAGGGAATTCTTTGGTGTGAGGGTGGTGAGAGCCTGGCCCAGGTTGCCCAGGGAAGCTGTGGCTGCCCCATCCCTGGGGGTGTTGAAGGGCAGGTTGGATGGGGCTTGGAGCAGCCTGGGCTGGTGGGAGGTGTCCCTGCCCATGCAGGGAGTTGGGACTGGATGATCTTGAAGGTCCCTTCCAACCCAAACCATTCCATGATTCTATGGAACTCAGGGGTTTGTGTCCCTCCCAGGCTGGGGGGGTTGATAACCCAGAGGGACAGAAGCCCCAGAATCTCCACTGAGAAACCCACAGAAAGGTGGAATCCCCTTGGAAAAGCAGGACTTGCCAGAAGTTGGGCTGCCTTCAGAGATTCATGGTAGAAAAGCCTGTTGAGGACTCTTAAATAAAGATCATGGAATGGTTTGGGTGGGAAAGGACCTGAAAGCTCATCCAGATCCAACCCCCTGCATGGGCAGGGACACCTCCCACCAGCCCAGGCTGCTCCAAGCCCCATCCAACCTGCCCTTCAACACCCCCAGGGATGGGGCAGCCACAGCTTCCCTGCCCAACCTGGGCCAGGCTCTCACCACCCTCACACCAAAGAATTCCCTCCTCATCTCCAGCCTCCATCTCCCTCTCCCAGTTTTCATCCATCCCCCTCATCCCATCCCTCCCTGCCCTTGTCCCAAGTCCCTCCCCAGCTTTCCTGGAGCCCCTTCAGGCACTGGAAGCTGCTCTAAGGTCTCCCTGGAGCCTTCTCTTCTCCAGGCTGAACACCCCAACTCTCCCAGCCTGTCCCCAGAGCTGCTCCAACCTTGGATCATCTCCATGCCCTCATGGAAGGAAGAAGATCACTTCTTGCACAGGACCCAACACCCCTTCACCACCTCCTACCCCCCTCACACCCCACAAGCCACTCCCAACACCCCAAAGACCTGGGAGCTCTGAGAACACCAGGACACAACTCAACCAAAAAAAAAATCCAAGTACTTTATGGAAATCCACCCAAATCTCTCCAGATTTTCACCTCCAGCTTTGGTGCAGTTGGATTATTTCAAGCTGGGCTTTCACACCCCCAAGAAAAAAAGTGTCTCCAGGCCTGAATTTCCTTCTAAATCTTCATTCAGACCCAAAAAAACACCAACAGCTTTTTTTTTCTTTCCTTCTCACACAACCTCCAACCACATTGTTTGCAACCTTTGGAATTTCCCCCCCCCCAGCCCCAGGTTTCCTGTTGCTGTTAAAGATTAACCAGTTCTAATCCACTTCACTGCTCCTTCTGCCTTCCCCCAGCACCAAATCCCTGCACCATCCCAAGCCATTGGAGTTCCTGGCATCTCAAACTTCTCCTCCATCCCCACTTCATTAAGCAATTACTCCCCAGACATTAATTGCCTGCAGGGGCAGAGCAAGGAGCTGTGACCAGGCTTGAGTTTTCCCCCCTAAAATCCTGTGACACAGGAACTTTGGCACCAGTTTTATTCCCCCTCCCCCTTTCCTTCTCCCAGTTGGTCTCAGGCTGCAGCAAAGTCAGCACTGAAATCATCAGCAACTCTGCTCCTTCCTTGCCAAGGCTCTGCTCTAAAGCTCCTGGAAACAAGGATTTCTTGGGCATTGCAGGAGCAAAAGGACAATAAACGTGCTCCTTGCACTCCCACCCAAGTTCTCCAAGCAGGAATGTTCCAGCATCTTCCTCCTCTCTGCCTCAGTTTCCCCAGGGAGGTGTCAGGGGAGCAAAGCACCCAAGAAATTTGGACCCAGCTCCTGCAGCCTGAGCCTTCAACACCAACACCCCCCCAGCAGAAGTGGAGGAAGCAAAGGGCTTGGCAGAGCCTTGGCACCCAGGGGAATTCCCTCCACCCTCCTCTTGCAGGAAACCCCAGTTTTCAGCCCTTTATGTCCCAGCAACCAGCAAAGGAAGCAGAAAAACCACATCCTCTCTCCCCCATTCATCACCTGCTGCACCTCCAGCTGTGCCCTGGCCACTCTGTGCCTCTTATCTCCCCTGTCCTCACATTTCCCCTGGCCAACCATTTTCATTCCCAGCTTCAACTGGAATGACCCACCAAGGTCATCTCCACCTTGCCCAGCCAACCAAGAACTCTTGTAATTAGGGAAAAAAACCACTCCCAGGGCATCAATTTGCATCTGCAGTGATTGGTGGGGTCAGTTCTCCCTTCTTGGAAGGTGTGAAGGTTGTGGGGAAGAGTTCAGTGGATGGAAAAGGACATGGATTTGGCTCAGGAGGTCTGAGAGTCCATCAGGAAGGAGAAGAACCAGGTTGTCCCTGCAGAACAAGCTGCCCAGCTCCTCTGCCTGGAGGAAAAATGCTTCCCAACAAGCTCAGGGGCCACCAAATTCTATCCCAGGCTGGATGGTGCCAGAGCTCAATGGCTCAGCTTGGAGTTTCTGGAGCTCTCCAAGATGAAGATGATGCTGGGACAGAGCCCAGAGCAACCTGGTTTCACCCCCAGCAGGTCCCTCTGAGCCTGCAAGGAGCACAAAAAACAAGAGCAGATCTTTGCATTTTAGAGAGCAGAGGGTGCAGATCCAGGGGGGCAGGATCAGCAGCAGGATTTGGAGCTTCTCTTTGGTTTTTCCCCCTCCAGGTCCCAGCTCTGATCTCCCTCCTGCCTCATCCCCCCCTCTTTTCTCCCTGGCAGGGGCTGCTCGAGGTGGGTTCAACCCCTTCTCCTCTCACCCCCAGCAGTGGGAAATGTCCTGGCTGAGCCTGGAGGGAAGGAGCAGAGCTCCACAAGAGGGGATTTGGAGCAGCAGCATCATCATCATCCTCCTCTCCCTGCAGCAGGGACCTCTCTGGGATCAGGGAGGGGATTCCTTGATGCCTTGGGAGCTGCTGCTCCTCCCTGGGCTCCTGCCCTCACATCCCAACAGAAGATGCAGCACAAACCAAGCACCAGAGCATTCCCAAGAGGGGGGAGAGGGGGGCTGAGCCCCCCCCAAAGCCTTCCCTGGCAGCCAGCAGAGCCCCCCAAAGCTCCAGCCTTTCTCCTTCTGCCTCAACTGGGCACCCCAGGACCACTCAGAAGAGGATTCACAGTCAATATTGACCAATAAGCACCTCAATGGGTCCAAATACACCCC